CTCGGGGTCTTCTACAATTGCACAGAGAGAATACCAAATAGAATACAACAACTATATGTCATTAACTGCCTAACTTCTGTTACAAGCCAGTATTTGTAGTAGATTCTTCTTAACAACTTGTAATCTACTAACTATTACATCGACAATGTACACTTGGCATCACAAGATGATGTCAATTGTTAGCATCCTAACAATACCTCCCCTTTGAAACACTGCTTGAAACAAGCATTTAACAAGTTGGCAGTTGGCATCACAACACAACAAAACAGAAAAGTCATGGAACGAGCTCCATAATTCGTTCACAGATACTCAACTTCAGGGAACTTGAGCTTCAATTCCTATACAATTCCCAGGTAGCATCCTTTTTGGAGTGATTCTACCACTGAACTAGCACTTCAGTTGCTGCAGTATTGTGTTTCTTGATGATTCGTCTTGCTAAAATGGCTACTGGGACATCTTGCAAGACTCCTGAATCTGTAATCACAGGTAGTGGCACAATAGGTTGTACATTTACTCCCAAGTGTTTCTTCAAACATGACACATGGAACACTGGATGCAATTTGGAATGCTTTGGCAATTGCAATTTATATGCCACAGAACCAACCTTAGCTATCACTTGGAAAGGTCCATAAAATCTGGGTTGGAGCTTTTGGAAGGGATGTGACGCAAGGGACATGTATTGATATGGTACCAACCTCAAGTAAACCCAATCACCAATCTCAAATGATCTCTCAGTTCTATGCTTATCTGCTTGAGCTTTCATCCTTACCTAAGCAACTGTTAAGTTATTCCTGAGAAATGATAATACTCTATCCCTTTCTTTCAAACTGTGATCCATGAAATCCACATTAGTAGACCCAGTATCATAAGCAGAAATGATTGGAGGTGGTTGACCATAAACTATCTCAAAGGAGTGAGTTTATAAGCAGTGTGGTAGCTGGTGTTAAAGCTCCATTCAGCCCACGACAGCCAATGAACCCATTTTTTAGGTTGGAGACTACAGAAACATCTCAAATAAGTTTCCAGGCAACGCTTGGCCATCAGTTTGAGGATGGTACCCCAAACTGAGACATAATGATGACCCTTGAAGTCTAAAGAACTCTCTCTAGAACTTGCTCAAGAATACGGGATCCTTGTCACTGATTATCAAATTAGGCATTCCATGGAGCTTAAAAATGTTGTCAACAAAAAGTTGAGCAACTAATGAAGCAGAATAAGGATGCCCGAGTGCAGTGAAATGAGCATATTTCGACAGTCTGTCCACTAGCACCCATATCACTGTTTTTCCTTTGCAATGAGGCAACCCGATGATGAAATCCATCGAAATATCTGTCCACACTTTTGTGGAATGGGAAAAGGGTGCAAGAGTCCCGAAGGAGACAATGTCTCATATTTATTTTGTTGACAGATGGAATAACAAGCAACGTTTAATAAAATTTTTCATACCCTCCTAATAGAAACACTTGGAAATTCTTTTGTATGTTTTCAGGAAGCCTTCATGACCAGCAGTAGGAGAAGCATGATGTTCTGCAAATATTTTGTCCCTCTATATGCTGTGTGGACTTAATACAATCCTATTTTTGTATTTCAGAAATCCATTATCCACCTGATACTTGAAAGTCGAAATAGGTACTGAATCACTGTTAAGGGACAATACTTGCTGTGTTTTTTCCATAATCCAAGGATCACTTTTAAGGTTTCGTCTTATATCATCTATCCATTGAGAGTAAGGGTAGGATATAGCTAAGATATCCATTTCATCAATTTCAGCTATTTGATGTAGAGAAGAATCTTCCTCAGGCGCAGGTACTCTTGATAGGGCATATGCAGCTTGGTTATTGCACCCTTGCTTGTACTGTATCTCATAATCGAAACCAAGAAGTTTAGTAACCCAGTTTTGTTGGAATGGTGTGTGAGCTCTACCGTGGAGGAAATATTTCAAACTATGATAATCAGTTTGAATGATGAAATGGTTGCCCACCAAATAAGACTGCCACTTATGAATGACATGTATGATGGCCAACATTTCCCTTTCATATGCTGATAGTGCTTGGTTCCTTGGACATAAAGCTTTACTGGTAAAGGCAATGGGCCTCCCCTCTTGTTAAAGCATTGCTCCAATTCCGTGGCCCGAGGCATCCGTTTCAAGAATGAAAGGTTTGCTAAAATCTGGCAAAGCTAACACTTGAGGAGACATCATAACGTGTTTAAGAGTTTGAAAAGCTGTTGTAGCTTCTTCAGTCCATTTAAAACTGTCTTTCTTAGTGAGAGCCATTAAAGGACTGATAATCTTCCCAAATGAGGGATAAATTTTCTATAATACCCTGTTAATCCTAAGAATCCTTTTAGAGCCTTGACAGAAGTAGGGACATGCCATTTGGCAATGGCATCCAATCTGGTAGGATCCACTGAGACACCATGCTGAGAAACTATGTGACCCAAATATTCCACCTGTGATTTCCCAAAAGCATATTTGGATTCCTTGACAAACAAGGTATGTGCCTTTAATATATCAAAAACTATTCTCAAGTGTTGCAGATGCTTGGACCAAGAAGTACTATAGACCAATATGTCATCAAAGAAAACCAAGATAAATTTCGTAAGAAATGGTCAAAAAATTTCGTTCATCAAACACTGAAATGTTGCAGGAGCATTTGTGAGGCCAAAATGGCATCACTAGGAATTCATAGTGGCCATCATGTGTCCTAAATGCTGTCTTCTCCACATCTTGTGGATGCATACGGATCTGATGATAACCTGCCCTTAAATCGAGTTTAGAAAAATAACTTGCACCAAACAATTCATCAAGCAACTCATCAATAAGAGGGATAGGAAACTTATCCTTGACTGTAATACCATTGAGCTCCTTGTAGTCCATACACATCCTCCAGGTTCCCTCTTTCTTTCTGACAAGAATGACAGGTAAGGAATAGGGGCTGTTACTCACCCTTATAAAACCCGCATGTAGTAGTTCTTGCACACATTTATGTATTTCAGTTTTTTGTACTGAACCATATCTATAGGGCATTGTGTTGGTGGGTTTACTGCCTCTATCAGTGGAATCTTGTGATCATGTATTCTATGAGGAGGCAAGGAAGTCGGAGTGAGAAAGATGACCTCATATTTTTGTTATAAGCTGTGCAATTCTTGTTGCTGTTTTGTAGAGATGTTCTGGGAATTCAAAGCTGTATAGGAATGAATTTCAGCCAACTCAGAAGTATCATGCATAATATTGTCTGCTTTATGCTCAATGTGGTAAAGAACTGAACCAAACGTTGTATCTTTCTGTAATAACCTTTGCATTTGAAGTGTTGAGATCTCCTCAACGTTATCTCCAAAGGTTAAAGGAGTGGTGATGCAAAAAGTCTTTGCATTCCGAGTAAACTGCATGGAAAGCTTGTTGAAATCCCATATAATAGGTCCCAATGTCTTAATAAGGCACAAGCCGTGATTTCAAGTTCTTCATTCTCTTGTTCATCCTCACTACCCAACTCTGAATCTTGAACATCAATTAATAATAATTGCTTCTTTTCACAGCTATGCCCCCTACCATATTTCTCTCTACAATGATAACAAAGGTCATTTCTAGGACAGTGATCTACCTCTTCAGGTGTTAGTCTCCTTACACTATTGGGTTTTGTTCGATTCTCATAGGATGAATTAGAATTGATAGGTTTCAAAGGAGATTGAAAATTGGGTTGAATTGAAGGAGTATTGGTAAAAGATTTCACCTTAAGATTTGTGATCTTTGTATCCAATTGTTGAGCAAAGGCAGAAGCTTCAAGCGCATCGCGGGGCTTCAAGATCTTGACATCATGTTGCTATTCTGGTTTGAGTCCTCCCACAAAGCAAGATTTGAGAAATGCAGGGCTAATATCTCTTGTTCGATTGGCTAATCACCTGAATTCCATCACGAAACCACGCAGGAAACCCGTTTAAGATTGACCAAACTTTCCGCCGAGTCGTCCAATTCTGAAGGACCAAATTCTTGGCACAATACCTTTGTGAAATCATCCCAATTTGGATAATTTTCCAAGCACCGAGCCCATTGAAACCATTGAAGTGCATCGCCTTCCATGTGAAAAGGATGCCATCTTCACTTTCTTTGAATCTTTGATATTAAAGAAATCGAAATAGCGTTCCGCCTTGAAAACCCATCCCATCGGATCATCAGTGTCACTGAATCTTGGAAATTCCATTTTCAAGAATGGAGGGCTAGAGAAATGATTGAAATTTTGCCCTAATTCTTGTCGATTGGAATTGAAATTCATCCTGTCCTGTTGTAGGGAATCACTATGTGTAGCTTTGGATGATTCGCCCAATGGTCCACCATTCAATCGCGTCATGAGAGCTTGGAATTGCTGCATTAACAACTCCTGGTTCGATTTGAGCACCGACTGTGTGGCTCGAAATTCATCTTGAGACTTCTTGAACCCATCGAAGTTCTTTTCCAGGCTTGAAACTCTTGACTCCATGGCTTTACGTGAGGCTTGCCGTGTCATATAATAGAGAAGGATTGAGTGATCGAAAATGAATGGCTTGATACCAATGTTAAGACCCTCGACGTCTTCTATAATTGCACAGAGAGAATACCAAACAGAATACAACAAATATATTTCATTAACTGCCTAACTTCTCTTACAAGCCAGTATTTGTAGAAGATTCTTCCTAACAACTTGTAATCTACTAACTAACTATTACATCGACAACGTACACTTGGCATCACAAGATGATGCCAATTGTTAGCATCCTAACATGTGTCTAATACGTAACAAAAAAGTTGTACTTCATATTTACTATACCATGTCCCTTGGTGAAGTTCAATATTGTCCCACCAACTGACCATTATTTTGCAACAGTTAAAATCTACCCCACGGGATCTTGCCACTGGAGGAGTAGCTTCTGCCACCGTAAAAAGCATCGCTTCCTCCACTGTAAAAAGCATCGCTTCCTCTCGCTCCATCCTTTTCCAAATTGTTGGAACTGACGCTCATATCTATTGGTTCAGAAGTTGGTTGTTTTGCATTTCTCGGAACCCAGCCTTCCCTCATACCTGAAAGTTCCCAAAAAAGTTAAGAGCAGAAAGAAATAAGAACCCACACATTCTCCACGTTGCACATAAAGCTCATAATTAATTTTAGAAAACAACTTACTTGGCACGAATAAATTTCTCAGTCCCACTTTTGTCAAAATTTGGTGGCAATTCTTTTTCCCAATAACTGTTTCCCTTTTCATTACCCATGGCTACACAAAAGTACATAGAGAGTTAACAAGATAATGAATTAGAACACAATAGTTGGTTAGAAAAGATTAAAAACACACGAAGCAAGAATGTGAACACTGAACCCTAAACCCTATATGAATACTATCAGACCATTCGTAACATGCATAATAGTTTTGACAATATGAGGACATTGAGGACAAACTTCAAGACTTATGAAATCTTATAAAATTGCACTGTTCGATTAGAATCAATTATGTTTGGTTCTTTCTTGTTGAGGGAGATGTTACAACCAACTCAGCTAAAGAGTCATTCCTATAACAACATCAGCCTATGCAAAATACGACATATGCACATACTATGCCACATATAATTTCTCATCTCTTTTTTTTTTTTTTTTTTTTTTTTTGTTTTTTTTGTTTGTTTTTTTTTTTTTGTTTTTTTGTAGGCTTAGCTGATATGATATTTATTTATTTTTTTGTAGGCTGAGCTGATATGATATTTAGCATGAGAAATTAAATGAAATTTAAATAAGTTTCAAGGAGAAGAGAAGGCAGCAGCTAATATCTTACCAGTTGATAAGGTACCGATGTTTAGAAAGCAAGCTACACCATCTTTAAGATAGTTTGGCAGTTAACCAAATGGAATTCCCCATAATTTTGACAAATAGGGTAAGAGGAGACATATATATAGTGCCTGCAATTCACATTTACAATAGATACTGGCTTTCATTAGGTGAACTCAATTTCAGGACACCAAAAATATAAATTTGGAAGGCCATCAATTTGTATGCCTTTTTCAAGAATGCCTGACAGATTGGGGAAGCATAGAAGAGGAATAAAACATTATTAGGCATAAGCCACATGATGGAAACATTGCAGTACACATTGATATGCAAGGTGCAAGACACATGAGAACTGCTCTCCAAATATAGTCCTTACAAAGAGTAAATTAGACCAGTACAATGATACACAAAGAAAGACATGAAAGAAGTGGGAGAACATTTATCGTCGAAGAAATTATGTGATAATCAACCATATAATGCATTTCCCTGCATGTAGGCATTTCATTCAAGAAAGTAATTCATGCTCCTGCATGTTATCGAATGTTAATGAAACTGAAAAGACATAACAAATTAAAGTAATGCAACTTAACAAAAACAAAGACATCTGAGCTGTTCAAGAAATAAAGTCAAAACATTACCTCAAGAATTCGATGAAACCTAGATATATCGTCAGGGGCGATTTTGGGGGAATAGTTGATATAGAAATACGGCTCAAATCCATG